AAATAACTTCCTTAAAGCTATATTTAAATATTGATGAATGTTAGACCTAATTGTTGGATTGAGAAAAAAAAGTCAGCTTAACACAGAGAGCTTATGTTTAATCATAATTTAATCTTCTATTTGAATATTTGTGTAACTATCTTCATTTTTTAAACGGATATGGAACGCAGGCCATGAAAAAAAAATCCTGAATTGTGAATCCAATTTAATGCTTACATAGTCCTGATATTTGAAAATTTAAAAAAAAAGTCAGCTTAGCCGAAGGCGTTGATATATTTCGAAATTTTTAGCTTCCATGCGTATCTTAGTATTATTCTCTTCAAATTTAAAACAGAGTTAGCACTGCAGGCCTGCAAATAAAAATCTTTCAAGCTGTGTTTAAATATAGAAGAACAGTAGACCTTGATGTTGGAAGTAGCAAAAAAGTCAGCTTAACACAGTGAGTTAACTTTTTATCATGATTTTCTTTAGCATTCGTTTTTCTGTGTCGGTATCTTTAAATTTTAAACGGAGACGGCACTTTAGATCATTGAATGAATATTTTGAATACTGAATCAATTTAATTGCTGACGTAGACCTTATATTTGAAAAGTTTCCAAGAAAGTCAGCTTAATCACAGTTGTTGATGTTTATCCAAATTTTTGTATTTCATTAGAATCGCAGCTTTTTGCTCTTCAACTTTTAAACGGAGTTGGCACTGCAGGCCAGCAAATAACTTCCTTAAAGCTATATTTAAATATTGATGAATGTTAGACCTAATTGTTGGATTGAGAAAAAAAAGTCAGCTTAACACAGAGAGCTTATGTTTAATCATAATTTAATCTTCTATTCGAATATTTGTGTAACTATCTTCACTTTTTAAACGGATATGGAACGCAGGCCATGAAACAAAAATCCTGATTTGTGATTCCAATTTAATGCTAACATAGTCCTGATATTTGAAAATTTTAAAAAAAAGTCAGCTTAGCCGAAGGCGTTGATATATTTCGAAATTTTTAGCTTCCATGCGTATCTTAGTATTATTCTCTTCAAATTTAAAACAGAGTTAGCACTGCATTCCTGCAAATAAAAATCTTTCAAGCTGTGTTTAAATATAGAAGAACAGTAGACCTTGATGTTGGAAGTAGCAAAAAAGTCAGCTTAACACAGTGAGTTAACTTTTTATCATGATTTTCTTTAGCATTCGTTTTTCTGTGTCGGTATCTTTAAATTTTAAACGGAGACGGCACTTTAGATCATTGAATGAATATTTTGAATACTGAATCAATTTAATTGCTGACGTAGACCTTATATTTGAAAAGTTTCCAAGAAAGTCAGCTTAATCACAGGTGTCGATGTTTATCCAAATTTATTGTTTTTCATTAGAATCGCAGCTTTTTTCTCTTCAACTTTTAAACGGAGTTGGCACTGCAGGCCAGCAAATAAAAATCCTTAAAGCTATATTAAAATATTGATGAATGTTAGACCTAATTGTTGGATTGAGAAAAAAAGTCAGCTTAACATAGAGAGCTTATGTTTAATCATAATTTAATCTTCTATTTGAATATTTGTGTAACTATCTTCATTTTTTAAACGGATATGGAACGCAGGCCATGAAAAAAAAATCCTGAATTGTGAATCCAATTTAATGCTTACATAGTCCTGATATTTGAAAATTTTTAAAAAAAGTCAGCTTAGCCGAAGGCGTTGATATTTTTCGAAATTTTTAGCTTCCATGCGTATCTTAGTATTATTCTCTTCAAATTTAAAACAGAGTTAGCACTGCATTCCTGCAAATAAAAATCTTTCAAGCTGTGTTTAAATATAGAAGAACAGTAGACCTTGATGTTGGAAGTAGCAAAAAAGTCAGCTTAACACAGTGAGTTAACTTTTTATCATGATTTTCTTTAGCATTCGTTTTTCTGTGTCGGTATCTTTAAATTTTAAACGGAGACGGCACTTTAGATCATTGAATGAATATTTTGAATACTGAATCAATTTAATTGCTGACGTAGACCTTATATTTGAAAAGTTTCCAAGAAAGTCAGCTTAATCACAGGTGTCGATGTTTATCCAAATTTATTGTTTTTCATTAGAATCGCAGCTTTTTTCTCTTCAACTTTTAAACGGAGTTGGCACTGCAGGCCAGCAAATAAAAATCCTTAAAGCTATATTAAAATATTGATGAATGTTAGACCTAATTGTTGGATTGAGAAAAAAAGTCAGCTTAACATAGAGAGCTTATGTTTAATCATAATTTAATCTTCTATTTGAATATTTGTGTAACTATCTTCATTTTTTAAACGGATATGGAACGCAGGCCATGAAACAAAAATCCTGAATTGTGAATCCAATTTAATGCTTACATAGTCCTGATATTTGAAAATTTAAAAAAAAAGTCAGCTTGGCCGAAGGCGTTGATATTTTTCGAAATTTTTAGCTACCATGCGTATCTTAGTATTATTCTATTCAAATTTAAAACAGAGTTAGCACTGCAGGCCTGCAAATAAAAATCTTTCAAGCTGTGTTTAAATATAGAAGAACAGTAGACCTTGATGTTGGAAGTAGCAAAAAAGTCAGCTTAACACAGTGAGTTAACTTTTTATCATGATTTTATTGAGCATTTGTTTTACTGTGTGGGTATCTTTCAATTTTAAACGGAGACGGCACTTTAGATCATTAAATGAATATTTTGAATACTTAATCAACTTAATCGCTGACGTAGACCTTATACCTGAAAAGTTTCCAAAAAAGTCAGCTTAATCACAGGTGTTGATGTTTATCCAATTTTTTGTTTTTCATTAGAATCGCAGCATTTGTCTCTTCAACTTTTAAATGGAGTTGGCATCATGATTTTATCTTGCATAATGTATTTTGGTGTACGTTTCTTTGAATTTTAAATCCTGGCAGGTTAGGCCACGCAGTCCGCGGGCGCCTGTCAGGTTCTAGAGGCTTCTTTAGTCTCAGGGTTGAGAGATAAGATCACGTGACGAGTAACAGCCAATGACGTGCCATGGCGCGAATGCTGGGCGGTTGTAGCGGGTACAAAAACCTCGCTGCTGCCGCTAAGCAGTCAGTCGCTCCTGAGCTTGCTCGGGAAACACCCATTGCAGGCTAGCTGATGAGACCTGGATTGGTCGAAACAGCTGTCCTAGCCAGTAGTGTATGGAAAATTGTAAATTTTCGACAAAGGTTCATTGCCTTTGAATTGAATATAAATATGTCATATGTCATATGGTTGTTACTTAAGCACATTTCAAGGCTCTCGCACTCCCACTATCTCAGCATCATTCTCTTTTAATTTAAAACAGTGCTGGAACCGCCAGCTAACAGATAAAAATGTACAAAGCTGTCTATAATAATTGATGAATAGTAGACAGGTTGGAATAAGCAAAAGTAAGAATGTGGCTAAACCCGGTCATAGGGTTGGAAAACACCAAAAAACGATTTTTTAAGTGTAGTCGGCACCATAAAAATACTTTTGGATTCATTTTCAAATACGATGGCCGGGTTTAGCCGTGACTGAAGGGCGGTTTTAAGTTGTAAGAGTGTCTGGGGTGTCCGGCAGGGTGGGTTAGAAAGTGGCTAAACCCAGACAATTCATCAGCAACCCTTTATGGTCCTTTTTTCAATAAAAAAAGTTGGCGATATCGCCAAATTATGTTTTGTTATCTTTCATATATGTATTTCTATCTAATTCTCTTCAAATTTAATACGATATATTGGCATTTGATCTGCAGATATCATCAACTCAAAATTAAGAAAGCTGAATCAAAATAATTTTTGACATAGAATTTAATTTTGGCAAGTTCACAAAAATGTCAGCTGAACCCAAATCGTTGGTATTTCTTTGATTTTTCCAAATTATAGTTTTTTAAACAAATTAACTGTATACTTTAAATTTATATAATAGAGTTGGCATCTCAGGTCATCATTTAAATATCTTGAAGACTGTTTGTAACTTTTATTTATGTAAACCTAATAATTGGAAAGTTTGCAAAAAAATCAGTGTAACCCAAGGCGTCGATATATTTGCAAATTTTGGTTATTTTTCATACGTTTTAACTGCGTATAACTATATATCTGCAATTTTTAATCAGAGTTGGTGTCTCAGTCGAGCAAATAAAAGTCTTTAAGACTATATATCAAATTATTTATTAACGTTTATCAATTGATAAATTGTAGACCTTATAATTATTTGGAAAGTTTGAAAAAACTCTGCATAACCGAGATTGAGCAAAATGCAAGAATCGTGTGCAAGATTTATGCCCTGCTGAAAAATGTTATTCTTAGAAACAAATTAAGTGTATTAAATAATTTATTGCAAGCTAAATGATTTGAATTGACATTTAGGGACAAAGAATCAATTACGAAAAATTAGAATTTTGATAAAAGATCATTATTTTCTAAACGGACACAACATTTTTCACACTGCCAGATTAAGATTTGTGTCCTGCTTAGGAAATATTGTTAGTACCAAATATATCTGAATGAAATAACTTATTAAAGCTATATGATTTGAAGATAATTTTGGGGAAGATTATAAATTTAAGAATTTTGGGGAATATTATAAATTAAAGAGAAAAAAAATAAGAGTATGGTATCTAAAACGGAAATTGTGCTCTTATATTTAATTTTTTTTTTTTTAATATCTAATCTAGCCCAAAATGTATTCTAAGTATGCAGCTAAAAAGATTAATTTCTTTTAATTTGGTACTAACAATAATATTTCCTTATGCAGGACAAGGACACAAATCTTGCAGTGTGCTCGATTTGTTTCCGTTTCGGAAAAAATACTCTTATATGAATGAATTGATAATAATCATTTTTTATATATTTATTTATTTATTTAATTTATTCTCCATTCAGATATAATGAAATACACATACACAACATCTTACATCAAGTCAAATAAAATATAAAACATATAAAACATTTATAATATTGCCCCTAATTATTATCAAATCACTCTTAGCTTAAATAATGCCCATGCCTTGCCCATATAATAAAAATCTGTGTAGCCTAGATTAAATCGCGCGCGGCGCACCTGCAAGAGAAGAGAGAGAGAGAGAGAGAGAGGAGGGGCCGCAGAAAATGTGCCACACTCGCGGCGCGGCGGATTCTCTGCAGTCTGCTCCTCAGCACCGGCCTCAAGGGATCTCTCTCGAGTGACTTCGATCCGAGTGATTGACTATTGTATTCGCTGTGTGTGTGCCATTTTTTTCTCTCGTTAATTGCCAGAAGAAAAGAGACCCATCGATCAGGCAGACAACGCTGCACCGGACTATTTTCTGCTTTCTCAATGTAAGTTTTTGTCGAAAATACTTTTTGGTTCGCGGTTTATACTTTTTATCTGCGCTAACGTTCAAGAATGCATGCATTATTTGTATGTGTGTCCATTTCATACAACATAATCTTCCTTTGATATGAATGAGTGAAAAACAAATTTATTACAAATAAATATTGTCAAAATAATCATATTTCCATTTAAATGGTCATAATCCCAAAGCGTTTATTGTTTTGTATTTATTAATTAATATAATTATGCTTGAATGATAAAAAATAAAATTGATGAACAGTACAAGTAATTGGAGGTTTGTTGTGAAATAAAAGAGTTCGTTTACTAAAAATTTAATTACAAATAATGAAATTAATTATTAATTCATTAATCTGATTGATCCAATGAAAAATTTAAACAAGGCCAAACCTCTTTACAAAACAAAAATAAAGGCGGACCCTAAAATGTGACCTGCGGTCTTCTGGTATTTGAAAACCAAGGGTTTCTTCTGTCCATGGCTAAATGGTAACGGACTGAAATAGTGAGAATTCAACTTAAAAATTAATTGCAAAAGTACTCTGTTATAGAGGATAAAACTCATTTTTACAGCATTATGAAAAATTGGTACTAAAAATTTATAATAATACAATGTATACGTTAATTTATTTGTCAAAACTTATATTTGTCATATAAAACGTGGTTGTTGAAATTTAAAGCTGGTACATAATGGATAGTTAAATAAAATGCTTACCATGATTGTTGAAATTTAAATTTTTAGCATTTTTTCATTAGATGTAATATTTAATAGGATTCAAGGAAATATTATTTAAAATCAATCAAACCCCTAAATTAATTCAAGCTACATAAGTTGATGCGCGCAGCAAACAATTCTACTATTTAAAATTGTTATTGTAATCCGTGTCTGAAGTTATTTTTACTTGAGATCTTTCTGGATGACGCATGGAAATATTTTTTTACTTATTCTTAAAAATTTGTGAATCAAACGCTAGAGCTTTGAAGGATTTTTGTAATGAAACCTTAATTGTTGGAGAGTTTCAATTATTTTAACCGCGAATTTTTAAAATTCGGATAGTTTTAAACTGCTAACAAAAATTCGCACTTTTGAAATCATACATAAAATCTGACCTGATTCATAGCACGTCTTGAAAATCTCCTAAACACTAAAACAAACAATCGCCAGTCTGCTTGTTTAAAGTTTGCGTCGGCAAGAGGAACGGATTGAAAACTCAAACATTACAAATCTGTGGCGCCGCTGAATCTAAACTGTTGATGAAAATTTTCTGCTCTTCTGACGTTACATCTAAAAATTCAACAGATGAAAAGTGATGCAATTCAGAAAAATGCTCTTACGAACGAACACAGCTGCGGCAATAAAAATTGCTCACATATAACAAGCCGGTAGTACATTAGTGCAGCTTGAAAAAATGAATGGAATTGCGAAAGCGTGCAATTTTTCCAATCCACCAGCCAGCGAGTGAAAGAGAAAGAAATTTCCTGCATGCAAATAGTCGCGACTTATTTATATATTGCCTTTATAAAGGCCTGCGATTTCAAAGCCTGCGGCCAAGTTCAGTGCACTGGTATATTTACATAAATCTGCAGACGTGTGTTTGTGACATGCCGAGAACGAGAGAGGAGAAAGCAAAACTGCTAATAACAACGGGGAACGTGCAAATTTCCATCTCGTGGAAACTGTGTTTTGACAGATAAAACACACACACACTATGCAAAACCGTCTCGAACCTAAATTTATGTACTGCTCGCCGGAGATAAAATATGACACACTTTAACCTGTGTGTGTGGCTTAAAGCGACTTCAGAAGCGCCGCGCTCGTTTTATGAGCCTGCTCTTTTCACATAATTAATTACTCTCTTAGTGTCTTCCCTGCGTGTTTTGTTTGTCTGCTCGAAAGTGGCAAAAATGGAGAAAATAAACACACGAACAAAAGAAAAAAATTTGAATTTTGCCGGATAAGAGCGTTTATTTTCAGTTATTTTTTGCTTTCTCATTCTCGATTCAGTAGGTTATCTTGAAGGCTACTTATTTGCGCTGGATTAGTGGCCAAAATGAACCGACATTATTTATTTATGCACTACAAATTAATTAGATCTTCTAGTTCTTAATGCTTGGTCAAATCAACGAGTGATGCAAATTAAGTAATTAAAAGAGCACGTGGAGTGTGCAAATTGAAATAGAAAGGTCTGTTATTTGCTGAGAGAGTTTAGAAATTTGCCTAAATTTCCATGGTTAAATTAAGAATATGATTAGGTAATTAATAGATCTAGCGATTCAATTTAATTGCTGTAAAATAAATTTCAATAAAAAACTAAAAAATAGACCTGAAACTTGAAAATTTTCAAAAATATAGTGATGTATCTATTATTATTATTACTCTTGGAATGCTCTAAATTAGGGTCTGGTGAGGGTCTATTTATTATAGAGCAGAAAAGCAAAATAAGCAAAGAGCAAATCAGCGAAAGATCATTTCTCTCTGAAAATCTTTAAAATAAACTCTTTACCGTACACTTAATTAATGAAATTAAATAATTGTTTTCACTTGTACTGAATCAAAGAAAAAGTGCCTAAAATTTTCACATCCAAAAGAAACTAAAATATTACAATTTATGATTCTTTTTTGTATTGTTTTTATTAAATTCGTTTGTGCAGTCTCCGTCCTTGAAAAAGGCAAGTGTCATGGTTTGAAGCTAAAATTAAGTGCGCAGCCAATAACAATGACCGTTGTCAAGTCGATCACCATCCTTGAGCCAAAACGCTTTGTGGCCCTCTGCCTCAATGCTCTCCTGAGCAAACATTACGCGGATATGCTTTTTACGTTGGTGTGTCTCCGGCTTTCCCATGCCCCGTCACTTGGCAGGCTGTTTGCCTTTGCCAGCAGCTGTAAAATCCAAACAGATAGTTCCATGAAAAGTTGCGTAAACTTCCTGCCGCTAATTTCACGGTGGCGGCGACAACATTTGCATGTCACGGCGTCGTCAATGTCGAGCTAATCCAATTAGAAAATGTGACATAACCCTCGACAAGGAAAGACAAAGAACAATGAATCGCTCTCATACACCACCTCTATATTTTGCCAGCAAAAATCGTTCTGGCAAAATTTCCTCCATAAAGTCACGCGACGTCATTGTTTTTTAGAGCACTTGGCGACTCCAGAGGGAAATAATGTCAAACGACACGCTCAAACTTTTGAACTCTCTGTATAAAAGTCTCTTTATTGGATCAAAATTGCGCTCTTCGGACAGGAATTACCATTTGTCTTCCTGGCACAGAAAGAGGAAAACAGATTTCGTAATTTCCTTGCAGGGCGGCATTGTTGTTGTCATTGTTTTTAATTGGTTTTCGCAAGTCCTGTATAAAGTTGTTCGCAAATTTTAACGACTTGCAGCACCTCTATAAAATTTCAAGTACAATTCTTGGCAAGTACAATAAAAGTCAATATGCTAAATTTGGGCAATATTTTTTAGTTGCAAAGCTTTAAACTTAAAAATTAATATTGCGTTGAAAAAAAGTTTGAAATATAAATAGCGGCTTAGAAACGGTTGGTAAATATCGCTGTTCATATCTTATTATCAATTATTCGTTTTGAAATCCTAAAATTCACCCGCAAACAGTGTAGGGATTTGATTGAGAAATCCAGTAAAATATTGTATTATTGATTCATTATTTGCGATTATGTTATTAAAAGAATAATTGATTTATATTTTTATTATTATATAATTGTATTTTATTTTATCACAATTAGTCCTAAAATATGCTGTTTTTAAATGCTTTTCTCATCTTAATTACAATTATTACCGATTTTAGCTTATCATTAGCTTTTACAAAAGAATATCAGCAATTGCTTCACCGACAAGTAATTATCTAATTTTTACCATTTTTACCTATTTTCTTACACAATTGAAGATAAGATAACTTCAATATATTTAATAATAGCCACACTTTTTTCTTTTCAAAATTTTAAAATATGAGATGTACTCTTTTAGTATCAAATTATATGACGTCTTATACAATTCATAATTCCTTCTTCAAAATTTAAATTCACGCTCTCACCGTTAATTTTATTCAAAAGTATATTAATGAATCTTTTCACAAATTTACCTCTTTGTCTATATCACTGTCGGTCTTGACCCTATTTTTTTCAAGAGAGGCCACACGTTTAAAACTAAAAGTGTGCAAACAACCGAGAATCAAGTGCCACCGACTTGCTTTCTTTCTTTATTTCTTTTTCATTCATTTTTTTTTTCACGACACGCAAGATTCTGTTTCATCCTAGCTGTGTGTAGCACCTTAAACCTCCTGTTCACACACGGTCGGCGCGCACGAAAAGGCAAACATCAGTTTCTTTCTGGCTGCATCAACATTGATGTCACCACGGCGGGTTTCTTTCTTTTTCTCACTCGAAAACAAACACCGCGCGCGGCTGCCGCTTTTTCCATATGCACGCACGGCGAAAAGCTTTTTGTGCAGTGTCATGATTGTGGTGCATGGGATACAGCAGCGTCACGACGAGCAAGGCCCCTGCAGAAAAGAAATCGGCGAGAGCTTCTTTCTTTCGGTCCTCTCGTCGATTCGGAGGAGAGACAATTAAAAAGGATGCGGCAATAGGTTAGTAGGCATTGCAAAGTGATTGGCAGGAAAACAAGTCCACGTAGCGTGCCGGTGATAGTGCTGTTATTTTAGCCCATTCAGTATTATTATACTGCAATCACACATGTATCAGAGCAGTCGCGCAGGCCAAACGCCTATACTTGGGCATATCAGTCAGACGAGATTAGATGGACAAAAACAAAAAGAGAGACACAAACGAGTGAGAAAACCTGAATGGCGGCTGCTGGACTCGCCAGTCAGGTCAATAGGCAACAGCAGTGTAATTTTATCAACTTTGCAAAGTTTAATTAATCTTTTTTAAATGAAATGATAACGTTAAATAAATAATTAAATAAGAAAAAAATTAAGTAGCCCCTTGACAAATAATTAAATTTTTTTT